TATATTTAGAGTAACGAATAGCGCGCCCGTTTAAGGGCAGCGCCCCCTATCTTTTTTCTAAAAGCAATTTAAAATGATGAAATAGAAACAATTTTTTTGTCAAAAAAATATTTAAATTAGTATACAATTATTTTAAAGGTAGAAAAAATATACTCCCTCCGTTTCTTAAAATGGTTCTTGTTTTGACTTTGGGGCAAAATAAGGAAAGTGTAATTTTAGTTGACTTTCCAATTTTGCCCATGATGTGATGGACAAAAGTAAGATGTGATAGTTTAGTTATTAGTGGAAAAGTATGATGTAATAGGTAGGGTATGAAAAAGTAAGGGTAAAAGCGGTTTTTTAATAGAAAAAGGAAGTGTTTTAAGAAAAACAAAAAAATGAAAGAAGAATGGTTTTAAGAAACGAAGGGAGTAATACGCAATGTTTCTTTTGGATTGAGGGCACAAAATATTTTTCACTAGGGGCACTCTCCATCACCCTTCTCCTGGTCTAATCCCGGGTATTATCCCTTGTAGTACTCCCTACTTGCGAGCGGTGCTATGATCACCTGTAACTCTTTTCTTTTCTTCTAAAATGGTTGAAATCTCTTTCTAGATTTTCCTCAGGTCCGTTTGGTATAAGGAATTGGTGGAATTGGAATTGTAATTCCATGGGATTCAATTCCATAAAATTGAATTCTGTCAATTTCAATTCATTTTTTGCACTATCAATTCCAAATCTACATAATATTTGTGCTACCAAACACCAAAATTGGAATTGAAGTCTCTAATTCCAATTCCATAGTTTGAATTCCATGTACCAAATGGGGCCTCAGAATATAATTTTAGATTACTCAATAAAGAGTGAAGTATCCCTGATACATGCAACAGCTTTATGCAAAATATAAATGTCTACAAATTTGCTTCATATATGACTAAAATGCATTATTTTTCCCTGGATATGATCAAGTATGTTTTATTCTCTTTATGACACATATTTTCATATGATTTTCCATGTGTATCTTCATTTACAACAAGTGTTAGATAATGACTAACTATACAGATGACTATACGAATGCCTTTATTCATAACAAGTGTTAGATAGTGACTCATTATTTCACTAACTATTCAATTTGTTTTTTAATAATGTCTTGTTCTATTTGAATTTTGCAATGGGTCATTATATTCTTTTATAATTAATGACCTGAATTGAATTTTTTAGTAGGTGTTCAGTAGATTCTACAAACAAACACAATATGTCATATTAATAGAATGACTTATTCACAAAGGAAATTATTATTAATATCCATTTGTAATCATTTTGGACGCTTGTCATTTTTCCGCCTATTAAGGAAGCACTGACATTTTGAAAGGCAGGATATTTTATTAATAAAGGTTAGAGTAAATAGGACCGGTCCTATTTGGAGAAAAATAATATGTCTAAGTTCCATTGCTTTAGTTATCCAAAAAGGATTTTTTACATTTTTTGCATTTTTGTTGACGAGTTGAGCTACGTTACTAGAAGGATTTTTTATAAACACAAAAAGGGTACGGTATAGGAGTTTTACTCTTAGAATCGGCTGGACGATCACTTGAGACGTAAAATTGGCTGGCTAAGGTAGTGATGGTGAGAGGGGGGGAGTAAGTTGTGAGGATGGCCATGTGTAGGACAGCATGCAGAAGACTGGTCAAAGGTGGCAGTCAATGATCTGTGGACTACCATTGCAAGCTAGATGCCCATTTATGTGCTACTGTATTATTGGTGTCAGTCCTGAGATGGCTGGCCTTTTCTGACATTAAAAAAAATAAAAAAGAGGCCCTACTATACTCTTTTCTTCCACTCTTTTCCTGTTGAATGAAGGGCACATAGGAGAAACCAATGCACAATGACCACCGAATTGAAGCCAACACCACCATCTCGAACATTTTTTTTTGTTTTGAACGTTAATAGGAAGTAACATTTTTCAATTATTTTTAGTTTTTTTTTTCATTTCAATTCTTCTTTTATGTTTCTTTCGATTCCTTCTAATTTCTTACGGAGTACTTTTTCTTCAATACCTTTCAGTTTTTCCAACTCCTAATTTCTCTAAACCTTTCCAATTTTTTTCCAACTTCTTCTGATTTCTTTCGGTAATGACTTAAAGAACTATTTAGGTTCATTTTGATATATTATTATTATTATCTCAATAAAATTAAAAAAATTGATTTAAAATCACAATTTATTTAAAAAATTGTGCCCTGGTATTAAAATCTTAAATGAATTAATTTATAATTTCCTTTGTGATTTTAAAATTTCTGTTAACTAGGTTATTTGGAGCGTATTGTAGTCAACTTTTAAAAATTTTGACCAAAATAATTGCCCATTCTATTTTCTTTTGTTAAGCATTACAGAACTTTTAAATACGCATACACTAGTAATTTTTATAATATGCATGTTTTAACATGTGCAAAAAAATGCTCATACATCAATTTAATATGCGAAGAAATAATTCTATGAAGTTAATATTGTTTATTTTTTTAATGTGTATTTGTCGGATGTATTTTAAAAACTACTCTTGGTGCCTAAAAAATCTCTATTTGACTTTTATAAAATAAGAAAAAAGTTTTAAAAAAAGTAAAAAAATGTTATAATATTCTTGAGACATACGAAAAACAATATATTAAAATTTTTTACAGGAATGAATTGGCGCCTTTTATTATGCCTCTTTTTCCCCCATTATTTTAGAATAGTAAACTTTTCCTAATGAAAAAGGAATAGGAAATTTTGGAACTATTCCCATGTGTTTCTTCTCTTCATGTGTAGGACATTGGCTCTTCCAAAGAGTTGTGCCTTGGACATTCAGGGCTTTGTCTACATATGTACTTTGGTAAAGCCCTAACAACTTTCTAGATCTATTTGTATAAATCCTGATGCCGAGTATGTAGTTAGTTTCTCCAATGTCCTTGCATATGTTAAAGTCGGATAACATTTCTTATTTTCTTATGAGAAGTATGTCATCTACATACAGGACAAGAAAAACTACAATGCTCCCACTAATAACCTTCTTATATACATAAGCTTCATCTCCATTTTTAACGAATCTGTAACTAGTCATAGTTTCGTCAAATAAAATATTCCAACTCTGTAGATTGATCGCCGCACCTTGCATATTTTGGTAGATTGTCTTGCGACCTCAAAACCTCCATGTTGTGTCATATACACATCTTCAAATAAGTTTCCATTAAGGAAAGCTGTTTTGAGGTCCATCTACCAAATTTAGCAATCATAAAATGCAATAATAGGAAGCAGAATTCGAATGAATTTAAGCATTACAAGTAGAGAAAAGGTTTCGTTGTAGTCACTACCATGAATCTGCATATAACCTTTTGCTACCAATCTCTTTTGAAAATTTTAGAGCAACTCATCAAGTGTATAAGTGTCTTTACACTTACATACTCTATGGTGATTAATGAAAGGTCATTTGTGTATTTTAAAGGTGGCAAAGGCCTTAGACATGGGACTCTATCTCTGAAGAATTATGATATTCGATTAATTGATAAGTTAAACTTTACATCAATATATATATATATATATATATATATATATATATATATATATATATATATATATATATATATATATATATAAGTAATGCCAATCCTAATTATGGTAGGATAGGAATAATGGAAACTAATTACACAAGGTAGCTCTATAAATATAATATTAAATACAGTAAATATATTTAACATGCTCCCGACTACGTCGGCTGTGGTGGAGGGCGGATTCCAAGATTCGTGCAGAAGTGAGTGAATAGTATAGATGAGAGACCCTTGCATACTGAGAGGAGGATGGTACATGGAGAACTCTGACTTGGCTAAGGGCTACTTTATCAATTATCACGAGCAAAGTGAATATCTACCTCGACATGTTTGCTATGTTGATGCTGGACAGGGTTAGTGGAGAGGTAGACGACTCTCACATCATCACAGAACATGAGGGTGGCGCGTTCAAGGAGTAGGTTCCTAATCTAACTAGCTTCAGCAACTGCATTTGCTATATGTCGATATTCGACCTCAGCACTGGAGCGTGATGTCGTGGCTTGCCGTTTTGACAACCAAGAAACAAGACTATCCCCTAGGACGACAACAACTGTGTATAAAATCAAAGAGAGGATTACACATGTTGAATTTATCAAAACTCTAATCTCATTTCTTATTGTTCCCCTTATTGTTGCATTGCTAGAGTCGATATTACCTCCAACCAAAGATTCACCACACATTAATACCCCATCTCGTTTAAAAAGAAGCTCTTTGACTAATTTCTTTGTCTATTTCTTTACTCGCTTGATAAAATTATACTCTTTTTGTGTCACAAAATATTTATTGTTTTAAATTTTAAAGAGTTTAAGAGGAGTACATTTTGGTGTTTACTTTTGAAAAATGCCCTTGGTTGTGAAAATAAATGTAATGAATATATTAATAATGAAAAAATGTAATGTGATATGTAGGTTAAGAATTAATGGGGATAAAAGTAATTTTTTAATAAAAATGAAAAAATTGGGATGAAAGAAAAAAGAAAGAAAAAAAATTTGTGGGACAGAAGGAGTACAATTTTGTCACTTTAAATTTGATAATTTTTTCAAACTTACAATGGAACTACCATTTACGAAGTAATTAGTACGTAATATGATATTCATTTCATAGAATAATATAGTATTTTCACATTCTATTTTGTCACATTATTATTATCTTCATTTATTAGAAAATCAAAATTTTTCTTTTTTTAACCTTAAAAAAACCAATTTGATTGAATATATGCAACGGATATTCTTTTGGATGGGTCTCTATAAGAAATACGGATCGATTTTGCCGGAACCAATTCAAAATTGTAAATTAAAAACTTGGACTGAAATGGTAAGGCCCAAATCTCTGACCTCTAGCCACTACTTTCGAGCGATAATTTTATTTTAACTTTAAAAATATGGAGATAGAAAATGAATGGAAATCTAAAGCCGCATTTCTAGGGTTCTTACGAATAAACAGTCTGAGAAAGGATGAAGAAATCCCAGTTCTTCATGAAGCTGGACCATTGCAGAAGCCAGATGCCCAAATCGGCTCAATTCTTCTGAGAAACAGATGAAATTCCGAGGTACACAATGAAATGAAACCTCAACCACCCACAATCTCAAACTCGTTTTCATTTCTTCAGTCTACGCTGCTAGTTTGAGCTTTTTCCCTTCAATTTCTCCAGAAATTGTCTTGGAAGCAATCGAATGACCCAAGAGTCATTCCCCTTAGTATTTTGTAGTTTAGAAAGGTCACTGTTGATTGATTGCTGTTACTGGGCATTCAATGATAATTCCTAGAATCGGCAAAAGGGTGTGTTGGGAAATGATTTCCCATCTTAATGACGTATTGATTCCGTCTTCGATTTCTATTTCTGAGAGAGGATCTTCTTCTTCTTCATCTGTTTCACCGAGTCTAAAAGCATTAAGGTTGAAGGGAATTCGGTGTTTTCGAAGTTGTGATCATACTCATTCTAGCAAAATACCCATGGCAGAATCGACCAGCCAGAGACCTAACTCTGTTAAAGGTATGAAAGTATCACGAGCAGTGAGAAGTGATGCGCAAGCTGCACTCTTTGATTACCTGCACTACACTAGGGGATTCAATTTCCCCGATGCAGAGCATATTAGCAAGAACTCTCCTTTTTTCCTTGAGAAATTGATATCGAAGGTTGAGAATGAGGAGGATGTGTCAAGGGCATTGTCAAGGCTGTTTAGGTATCAACCCATTAATGAGTTTGAGCCCTTTTTCGAGAGTTTGGGCTTGAGCCCCGATGAGATAACATTGCTACTTCCGCGCAACTTGATGTTCTTGAGTGACAACCATGTCTTGCTTGGCAACCACCGCGTTCTTTGTAGGTTTGGGATTCCTCGCAGTAATATTGGGAAGATCTATAAGGAAGCAACTGAGATTTTCGAGTACGATGAAGGAGTATTGGATAGGAAATTGATAGCTTTTGAGAAAATGGGTTTAAGTCGATCCATGACAATACAGCTCGTGATCTGCTTCCCCACTCTGCTGGTTGGTGATGTAAACAACGAACTTCTTCAGGTGATTAAGAGAGTGAAAGAAATTGGGATTCTGAATGAGTGGGTGGGCAGGTATCTGTCTAACGGGCATTCATACGATTGGAGTAGAATACTTAGGACGACACACTTTATCACTGAAATCGGTTATAATGAGACACAGATGGGTGATTTGCTCAAGGCAAATCCTGCATTTCTGTTCGAAGGCTCTGGGAGGTGCACCTACGTGTTGGTTGTTCAATTCGTGAAATTGGGTCTTGAGATGGACGAAATCCGGTCTGTGCTTTTGAAATACCCCAAGATCCTATCTTTGAAGTATGCTAAGAGGCTTTGGAAGGCAATGTATTTTCTGTTTCAGATTGGAATGGAGACTGATGCCATTGCAAGAATCATATCCGACCATATAGAGTTATTGGGCTCAAATTTTATAAAATCACCAGAGACTGTCTTGAAGCATTTCAAAGGAGACAAGCGCTGTTTATGTCAGACAATTCTGGACGACCCTCTGAACTTGTTCAGATTAGCTTCAAAGTCACAAGTCAAGATCATCAAGCAAACAGGTCGCCGGGTCCCTTCTGACAAAACACCATTCTTACTGATGTTAGGGTATGCAGAAAACTCAGAGGAGATGACGAAAGCCATGAAAGTGTTCCGTGGGAGAGGTGACGAGTTACAGGAGAGGTTCGATTGCCTTGTAAATGCTGGGTTGGACTGCAATGCCGTGGTGGGCATGGTTAAGAAGGTCCCTTCATTGCTGAACCAGAGAAAAGATGTCATTGAGAGGAAACTGGAGAGCTTGAAGAACAATTTGGGTTATCCGGTGGAATCGGTCGTGTCATTTCCCTCCTTTCTCTGCTATGATATGAACAGAATAAGTCTTAGGTTTTCGATGTTTGGATGGTTGAGGGAGAAGGGCATGGCAAAGCCCAAGGTTTCGCCAACCACTCTCCTTGTCTGTTCCGATGTGCGCTTTGTAAAATACTATGTTGATGTACATCCAGAAGGCCCTGCAATGTGGGAATCTTTGAAAAAATCACATTATGCAACAAGCTGAGATCAATTTTGATTCACTTTTTTTCGGGTGCATTGTTCTATTGCCTGATTTTGTTTTGCACATAGCTGTGAATAAATTGATGGAGAGAACTAACTTGTACTTGATCTTTTTATTGAAAAATGAAACCTTGTTTGGGTGGGTTTATCAACTAATTCTTTCATCAAATGCCAAGTTATTAGCACTAGGCGAATGATTGAATTGGGTGATAATAAAAAGGGAATGTGTGATTAAGGGGGGTGTATTCAATCCGGATTCTGATAGATTTTTTTGGATTCTGAAAATCTGCAGGTATTCAATTCAGAATTTAAAAAGTCATTTAAAATCTGGGTGTATTCAATTCAAACTTTAAAAAATCTTTCTGAGTATGATGGTATTCAAAAATCGATGGATTTTTAAAGATTTTAAAAATTGTGGATTTTGATGGATTTTCATGCCTTGGGTATAAATACAAATCCAATTTCCAAATCCAATCAACCTGAGATTTTGATTACTCCTATTCACGTTCTTCATCTTCTCTCGTCCTTGCGTCGTCGGAGCTCGGAACCCCGACAGAAGGTCGTCCTATCGCCGCTGCAATCCTATCGCAGAGGAGGTTGGCCGCTGCAATCCTATCGCGGAGGAGGTTGGCCGCTGCAATCCTATCGCCGAGGAGGTCGTCCTATCGCCGAGGAAGTCGTCTTGTTCGCCGTAAGAAAGCCGGGAGGAAGACGGAGGAAAAAAAGAAAAGAAAAGAAAAAGAAAAAAAGGAAAGAAAACATTGAAAGAAGAAAATGGGCGGCGCGGCTAGGGTTCCTGGGAGAATGAGAAGAAAAAAGAAAAGAAAAAGAAAAAAAAAAAAAGAAGAAAAAAAAGAAAAAAGAAAAGAAAAATGTAAATCCTATAAAATCATTTGATAGAATACATTAGAATCTAATTAACTCTGTGTAAACTTTAAACAATCCAATGAACTTACAAAATCTATGGAATCTAAAAAATCTATCAAAATCATTTAAAATCTAAATTGAATACACTCCCTTAATGTGATGTTGGAAAATCTAAAACTATCTATTATATAAGTCTAGGAGGAGGAGGAGAAGAAGATGCCTGTTTTTGACAGCTCTTCCAGCCTAGGCAAAAGCCTTTTCTTCTGCATTGTCGGCGTCTCATTCAAATCAACCTCCTTCAGATTCCCATTTGAAGCTTTATATGCCAAGATACCTACAGACTCGGATTTCGTCTTAGCAGTTGCGATTTCCATGGCCAGTTTTGCCTCAAGGGGGAATAGAAGTCGGGCAAATGCCACTGCAATGGAAGAGAAATTTAGCTTCATTACAAAGAAATATAACATTTTTACCTTTATTTTGTCTAGGCCTTAGGCTTCCAATGCCAATGGAGCTAAAGTACTCAATACTAACTAAATCAAAATGACACATGAACTCTTTGCTTCTTACTTTCTATGAAGTTTTGGAGAACAAATGCTAGAATGCATCAAGAGTATAACTGAAAAAGTTTTTTCCGAATCTCAATGGAGTTGGGATAATATTAAGTTTTGTTGTTGATTAATTAGTTTCTGTTTTTTGGCTGTTTTGAAAAGAATTTGTCATTCCATTTAAGGAAAAAATTTGATGGTTCATATTATTTCTCTCCTCTTCTTAAATTTTGTATCATACAATTTACTTTTTCTTAAACTTCGTGAATGTCAACACCATGTAGTCTATTTTAGGTACGGAGAGAGTATAGAGTACCTCTGTTTTCCAGGTCAAGGAGTTTCGTGCGAAGATCATCCGCGGGTATGATTGGGGAAGAGGAAACAACATCTCCCACCATTGGAAACCTAAGCATCTCTCTCTCTCCAAGACATCAATGCATATCCTATCTTTATGTGCTTCATGCCCTCGCTCGGTCTTGGCATGATAATCCTTCGGCCGAGTTAAACTCCTACAGATAGATACTCACCGCACTTTGTCCATCCAATGTCGGCTCCCAAACGGAAGCTGTTGGGGGAGAAGCAACAAGTAGGATACGACACCTACAAGGATCAACTTCAAGACAACCAACCAAACACTTGACCCAATTTACCACAATTGATTAACCAAGCACACAAAATCAGCAACACATCAAATAAACCACAATAAAATATGAAGAATAAAGATGCAAACGACACACGATTTTTATACGTGGAAAACCCCTTCGATGTGAAGGATAAAAACCACGGGACTTATAGGGAGTCCGCCCTCTTCATCTCTTATTATGCAAATTGAGGGTAAAAACACCCAAACTCAGTCTACAAGGATGTCACAGCCCACCAACAACAACATACATAAGAGCCATCAACAATAGAGAAGGAAAATCAGGATTATCACCCAAAAATGCAGCGTCGCACCAGCTGCGATTACAGAAGATCCGTAGCTCCGATTAATGTGAAACTTGAACAGNCAGATTGAAGCCCAAAGTGTTGGGAACAACCTCTGAAAATTTCAGCTCAATCCAACGGTCGGATCTCCGGCGATGATCGAATTTGTGCGGCTGGTCTGTAAATTCTGCACCAGCACCTTCCTCTCTATTCTGTTTTTTTTCTCTGTGTGCTCTCTCTGCTCTGTTCGTAAGCACTGCCACTGCCCAGCCCTTCTACTCTCTTTTTTTTAGTCAACAAAGTAAAAACATAATTGGGCCCTCCACCAAAGAAAAAAAATGGAACCCAAATGAAAATGGGCTGGACCCACAACAATCTCCCCCTCCAGCCCGATTCGGGGAAGATCATACACAAACCACGTCAAGAAGACATACCTGCAAGCTTGGAACAAAACTCAAGCTTGCTTCCGGGAACCACCTTTGTCAACATATCAGCACCATTCTTGTTTGTGTGAATCTTCTTCTTCAACTTCATTAGTTGCTTTTCAATGATATCACGCAACCAATGATACCTCACATCAATATGCTTTGTGCGAGCATGATACATGGTGTTTTTGCTCAAGTCTATAGCACTTTGACTATCGCAAAACACAACATACTCACCTTGCTTCAATCCCAATTCTTGAAGGAAACGCTTCAACCAAATCATCTCTTTGCCTGCTTCCACTGCTGCTATATACTCTGCCTCAGTTGTTGACAAAGCTACACACTTTTGTAGCTTAGATTGCCATGAAATGGCTCCCCCTGCAAATGTAAACAAATAACCTGAGGTAGACTTCCTGTTATCAAGATCTCCAGCCATGTCAGCATCTGTAAATCCCTCAAGAATAGGCTCGCCGCCTCCAAAACACAAACTCAGCTTTGAGGTGCCCCGCAAATATCTCAAGATCCACTTTACAGCTTCCCAGCGAATCTTTCCTGGATTAGTCAAGAATCTGCTAACCAATCCAACAGCATGTGCAATATCCGGCCTTGTACACACCATAGCGTACATCAATGAACCAACAGCAGAAGAATAAGGCATATGAGACATGTTTTCCTTCTCTTTCTCAGAACTAGGACAAGAACGCTTGCTCAACTTGAAATGACTGGCAAGTGGTGTATTAACTGGCTTAGCATTCTTCATATTGAACCTTTCAAGCACCCGTTCAATATACTTCTCTTGTGAGAGCCAAAGCTTACCAGCTTTTCTATCCCGAACAATTTCCATGCCAAGAATTTGCTTCGCATTATCCAAATCTTTCATTTCAAAGGACTTTGACATATCCTCTTTTAACCTGCGAATCATCTCAACATCTTGTCCTACTATCAACATATCATCAACATACAAACAAAGGATAATGAAGTTATCATCAGAGAACTTTCTAAAATACACACAAGGATCTGCAGTAGTACGCCTGTACCCATTACTATTCATGAAGGAATCAAACTTGCGGTACCATTGCCTTGGTGCTTGCTTAAGCCCATAAAGACTCTTTTTCAACTTGCAAACAAAATTCTCTTTTCCTTTGACTTCAAATCCTTCTGGCTGCTCCATGTAAATCTCATCATCCAAATCACCATGTAAAAATGCAGTTTTTACATCAAGCTGCTCAAGCTCAAGATCCAAACAAGCCGCTAGTCCCAAAATCATGCGAATGGAAGTCATCTTCACCACTGGTGCAAAAATTTCATCGTAGTCGATGCCTTTCTTTTGATGGCATCCCTTCACCACCAGTCTTGCCTTCCGTCTCACTAGCTTTTCGCCATCTTTCTTGTTCTTGAACAACCACCTGCTCTTCAAGACTTTCTTCCCTTTTGGACGCTTCACCAAGTCATATGTTTCATTCTTCTTCAAAGAATTCATCTCCTCTTGCATAGCCTTCAGCCAATGGTCTTTGTCTGGATGTGACAAGACCTCTTCAAGGCTTTCAGGCTCTCCCTCATCAGTGAGTAGGATATATTCTGAACTTGGATAAAGTCTTGAAGGTTGTCGAACTCGGGTTGACCTTCTCAATGTTGGCTCTTCCACCTCTGGGCTGTTTTGCTCCCCCTGATTAGAAGACTCTCCACTTTCTATTTCAACA